AATTTTTCATTCCCGGCAAAGCAAACTTCATGATTGTCAGATTCAAAATGGCTAATACCTTATTACTTTTACCTCACAATCAAGAAGATTTAGACAAAATTATATTTAAGAATTATTTTTCAGAAGAATAAAGGATGAACTAAATGAACTGAAAGTATGCTTTATCTGAAAAAAAAAAAAAATGTCAAAATAAAACTTTTCCTCAATGAACATTTGGTTTTCAGTACGATTACAAAGAAAGCCATTTTTATAGTACAATGTTCAAATCCATCAAAAAGTTTCCCCAAGGCATTTCCCAATTTATTCAAAATATAATCTCTTTTGGAGGATCTCTCTGTCAAAACCCTTGCTAATTTTCTCTTTTCTAAAAGTATACTGGTCTGCTTCTACCATAACTTTCTTTTCAAGAATTTGCAATTCACAACTTCTGCTTGAAAGGGAGCTGCCTTACTGAGGGGAAATTCAAAACCAATTTTTACAAAATCATAGGCACTTTTACTCATCAAAAGTTTCACAATATGAAGCTATTGTTTCCGGTCATATTCTTTAATTAGGTCTATATACTTCTGAAGGTGGTGTTGCCATCTTCCTAACTCTCTCCCGCAAAGACTTCTGTGCTCTTCGATATACACCACATCAAAAGGGCAGTTTGGCCACCCTCAGGGGACTCAAATCCTGTTCCTTTTCCATGGTCTTTAAGCTTTGGAAACAAAAAGATCTGGCTGGAGGATGCTGGTGCAAGGTTTCCCAGTGAGATTCTCATCTGACAGCCCTTACTACCTTAGAAGGAGTAAGCACACTGTGATGGGGGAAAAATTCCTTTACTCAACTTTCCTGACCTTTTTCTCAGAAATACAGTTTCCAATTTTCTTTAAACTTTTCATAATAAGCCCCCAAGATCATTCTTTGTCCTTCAAGGAGTCCTATCAAGATTGACCCTTGAGATCTCAAAACCCACAAACAGTCATCATAGCCTTCTGAACTGATCTCTCTGCTTTGATACCCTCAGAAGCTAGTTGTGATTGTAGCATTTTTGTGTGAAGGTACCCAAACGAGTCTAAGACAAATAAATTGTCTGCAGCCACCCATGGATCACAGAAACATGCTTAAACACATTCTGCTTGGAACAAATACATTAATGTATGAACCAAAACTCTAGTGGTAATACTTTTGGACTTATCCTCGTATTTACACATGTATAACATCAGATGGAGCTCTGGTAGCGTAGTGGTTACGAATCGGGCTGCGAACCTTAAGGTCAGCGGTTCGAAACTACCAGCCGCTCCGCGGGAGAAAGATGAGGCTTTCTACTCCCGTAAAGATTTACACCCTCGGAAACCCTGTACAGGGTCGCTATGGGTCGGATCCGACTCGATGGCACTTAACAACAACAACAACAACAACATCAGATGGAGCTTTCTGAAAGCAGAAAAGATGTTGACCTGCGAAGACATTCAACTGTGTAGATCCTAACAAACTATGGGTAACATTGCAAAAAATGGGAATTCCAGAACATTCAATTGTGCTCATACAGAACCTGTACACAGACCAAGAGGCAGTTGCTCAAATAGAGCTAGGGGGACATGAAATGGTTTAAAATCAGGAAAAGTGTGTGTCTGGGTTGTAGCCTTTCACCATACTTAGTCAATCTGTTGTTGTTGTGACGTGCTGTGGAGTCGGTTCTGACCCACAGCGACCCTGTATAGGGTTACCTAGGAGCAGCTGGTGAGTTTGAACCATTGTCCTTTGCTATTCAAAACGACTTTGCAGTCCGGTGCATTAACCCACAGCGCCACACCAGGATTCCCACTCAACCTATATGCTGAACAAATAATCCAAGCAGCTGGACTATATGAAGAAAAACATGACATTAGGATTGGCATTAGGAAGGTTCTTTAATCTGTAATATGCAGATGCTGAAAGTGAAGAGGACTTGAAGCACTTGCTGATGAAGATCATAGACTATAGCCTTCAATATGGATTGCAACTCAATGTAAAAACAAAACAAAACACTTCATAATAGGACCAATAAGCAACATCATGATAAACAGAGAAAAAATTGAAGTTGTCAAAGATTTCATTTTATTTGGACCCACAATCTATGCCACAGAAGCAGCAATCAAGAAATCAAACAACATTCTACACTGGGAAAACCTGCTGCAAAAGACCTCTCTAAAGTGTTAAAGACCAAAGATGCCACTTAGAGGATTAAGGTGCACCTGACCCAACCCTTGGTTATGTTCAGTCGTCTCATTTGCAAGTGAAAGTTGGACACTGAATTTGGAAGACCATAGAAGAAACTGATGCATTGTAATTATGGTGTTGTGAAGAATACTGAATATGGACAGAAGAACAAAGCTGTCTTGAGGACATACAGTCAGAGTGCTCCCTGGAAGCGAGGATGGTAAGTGTGTTGGACAAGTTATCAGGAGGGACTAGACCCTGGAAAAGGACATCATGCTTGGTAAAGTCAGAGGTCAGCAAGAAAGAAGAAGACCTCCAAGGAGATGGACGGACACAGTGGCTGCAACAACGTACTCAAATATGGTCCAAGATGGGGTAGTGTTTCGTTCCCTTGTACCTAGGGATGCCATGAGTCAGAGTGAACTCGGCGGCTCCTGACAACAACATCATCAGATCAGTATCTAACCAGTTAGCACCCATTAAGAGAATAATTCAATGAGCACAGGCACACTAGTGTTCAACAGGGTAGGAGATCTGGGGATTCACTTTATAAGCCTGTTAGTGAGCATTTTGATACTGCATAACTTTTGCTTCCTTATCAAACTCCATGCTGTAGGGATTCAGAAAATGAACCCCAAGAATTGGAGGAGTCCCGGTTTCATGACAAGGTAAACTACTGGCAGCCCCGACTTTGGAGTATTCTAATATGACAAACCACACTTACAACCATCTGTCTTATGGGTTCTTGAGCATCTTATCTTTCATGGCATGGACAACATGCAAAGCTGTAAGGAGCAATCTGCTGATGTCATCATATCTTTACAGTTACATGAATAATGTTTTCAACCCCAAAAGACAAAGATCACATTTATAAAGATACGGATAATGAAAGGTGATAATAATCAGAAAAGAAGCAAATAAAGTATTTGACTTATATCAGAACTGATTTGCAAATGAGTTGTTCGAACTGAACTCTGTCATCCTAACTCTAACCCTAACCTTTCCTCATGTTTGTTGATACATGGTAGCATGCTTATTTGTGACGTCTGGTTCTTTTTCAACGTGTGCATACAATGCTTTGTGGGAAAGTATACAAACTCTTACGTGATATGACATGGTCCATGTACTGAGGTAAATAAGGAGCCCAAGCATCGATGGTTTCCTTCCGTCCGGCCTGCTCAATTCTCCTCAGTTCTGCGAGAAGTAGGGCCTGAGCAGCTTCTCTGACCTAAGATGGCCAAGGATCCAAATGTAAGAAAAGAGGGTACACCCATGGCAAATTATATCATCTCAATTTTTCATTCAATGTGACACATGATATATATTTTGCATGTTGATCTTAATTTTTATTTTTGCAAAATTGTCATAGGCATGAGATCAAATAAGACAGTTATCATGTGACATAACAATCAATTTATTAACTAACTTATTCAGAAGCTGAATAAGAGTTTGAGTAAAAAACTGAGTACAACTGATTTTTGGAGTGTATCAAATTTTAACTAATCTAAAACGATGAAAGGTTTGAGTATACTACAACCTTACTTGGAATTGGTATGACAGAGACTGTCATTGTTGTTAAGTGCCGTCGAGTCAGTTTTGACTGACAGCTATCCTGTATAGGGTTTCCGAGGAGCAGCTGGTAACTTTGAACCTCTGACCTTGTGATTCAAAATGATCTTGAGGTCCACTGCATTATCCTGCAGTGCTAAATATGTTATTTTTATCATGTACTAACTATAAATAATACATAGTGATATTCATATTTGAGAAATGTAAAAATGTAACACTATATATAGGTCAAGGGCTATAAGAGGAAAAAGACAAAGATACTTCCAAGTCTCTGGTGATATTACATTCCCAGTAATATCTAATATTGCATAAATGCTTTAACACAAAATAACAGCTACCATTGTCTGAGTTCCTACCACGTGTTAGACCCTGATTTATTGCTTTATTTGTATAGCTTACTTAGATCCTGAAAGCAATCCCATGAGGAATATATTACTACTCTTCTTCACAAATGAGCCTCCCATGGGCTACGTAGATTGCTAAGGGCAACAAAGTTAGCAAGTGGTGGAACCAATATTTAACCCCAGATCTCTTACAATAAATACAGTGCTTGCTATATTCACTTTGAATTTGACTAATGTGACTATACCTGAATGTGTGATTGCAAAGAAGTGGGTGTAGGTGTATATGACTACATATGTGTGCAAATGTGTGTACCGTATAAGTACAGAAATAAGTACTTAAGAAACAATTCCAGGAAAGTGAATGAAATTAGTTTTGTCAAATAGCCCCTGGATCAAAATAACAATGTAAGTGCATGCTGAAATACTACTGTCTAGAATGTAACCTAAAAAAGAAATCCATGAAAATCTTCAATCTCTGTTTTCTATTATACAATAAACAGGTAACATAATTGAGATAAAATGAACCATATTTGTTTAAAATTTACCTTAAATTTCATTTTAACATTTTAATAGATTTAAATGTTATTCTTTTTAAATAAACTTCATTTAATCGTCTACATTTTAATATTTTTGCTCTCTATCCGTATCCTCTCGCCATTACCTCTAAGCATCGATCCTGCCATCTCCGAGCCAGCATCTCGAGAAGTGGAGGTCTAAATTTCTCCAATCCCAGAAGGTCTGGCAGCATAACACAATGCATCGCAGCCAACTGACTCCATCCTGTTAAAAAAAGTCATCAATCTCATATTACTTTAACATTTTGGATTCCTAATTCAAAGGGTCTTCACTATGTATGCAAACCAAAGTGGGAGGAGGGGAGAGACAGACACACTAAATTGTGCTAGAAATGATTTCAACTTATTATTAGACATAGTAATAAACTGTCTATACTAAATGTATTTTATGGAATATACTAAATATACATTTATAAAATAATTTATAAAATATGCTAAACTTATTCATTCCAAATCATGCAGCTGATACCTATAAAAACATCTCTTAGAGCAAATATTCATTTCCACATAAAATATATCACAAAACACATTTCTGGAGAACCCTTCTTACAAAAGAAACATTTATTAAGAAAGGGAAGACACAGAAATAAACAGAGACTAGTGGTGAGGGTGAGGAAACTATGCTTTATACAGTATTATACTATTATTGTGAGTGAGGGGACAGTGGCACCAACTGTGGATGTAGCAAGCATAGCACCACGTAAGAACAAGTGTTTGAGTACCTATAGATGGGTATAAGCAAATTGGTAGAAGGGTAGGTACAGGCATGTACACAAGGTGAGAAGAGATGTGAGTACCTATGTTGTTGTTGTTAAGTGCCGTCAAGTCGATTCCGACCCATAGCGACCCTGTGTAGGGTTTCCAAAGATCAGCTGGTGAGCTTGAACTACTAACCTTGCAGTTCAAACAACTTTGCAATCTGACGCATTAGCCCACAGTGCCACACTAGGCCTTGGTACAAGGAAATAAAATTTATGGATGCAAGCACATAGACTCACTGAAGACATAAACACAGATATTTCTCAGATGTAAACAAACACCTTCCTATACTGGTTTGCTGGGTTTGAAGGCTTAGGACCATAGTCCCATTGGACAACTCAGTCAGTTGTCATAACACTATTCACAAAAAGCAAGATCTGCATCCTAGTGAAGTGGTACCAGCTGGGGTCTTAAAAGCTTGCAAAAGGCCATCTAAGACACAACTACAGGACTCTACTCACCAGGAGCAAAACTGTAAGAAAGCTAACAGAAGTGTTGAGAAGAAACAAGTCTACGTGAGCCGCAACGTCATCTACCCTGGGATAAGAACCAATGGTGCCGACTACCACCAGAGACCGTGGTGTGGTCACAATAGTTGGTCCCGGATGGAATAGGAGAGAAACAATAGAGAACAGAGGACTCCCTAAACCCTAAACCCTAAACCCTAATGGTGGTGGTAGTTTTGTGCCATGGAGTTGGTTCTGACTCATAGAGACCCTGCACAGGGTTTCCGAGGCTGTAAATCTTTAAGGGAACAGAAAGCCTCATCTTTCTCCCCCGGAACAACTGGTAGTTTCGAACTGCTGACCTAATAGCACTCTTCAAACCTAGTCAAACCTATCCTCTGAGATGACCTTTCAGCGAACTAGCAGAGTGGCTCACAAAATAAGGAGTTCTGTAGTGGCACTGTGGGATAATGCACTGGACTGCAAGGTCGGCGGGTCAAATTCACCAGTCGCACTTGGGAAACTCTACACAGGGTCGCTATGAGCCGCAACTGACTCGAAGGCACTTAACAACAACAATCATAAGATTGGTGCCTTATTTACAGACCATCTGTATTAAGAGCAAAAGGTCAACAACTACTCAAAAGTAATGAGGAGAAGAGAAGGGGGCAGGAACAAACAAAACACGAAGCAAACGTTGACACCTTGTATGTAACTGATGTCAATGAACAAGTTGTGTGGAAACTGTCAAATGGGAACCTACCTTGCTGTACAAATTTTCACCAAAATCTCAATAAATTATTATTTAAAAATAAATAAACATGTAAGATATGAACACACAAGAGCTATAGACTTGATGCCACTCCGCAGTTGATCGAGGATTCACACAGACATCCAAAGTTAGGTTCGTGCCATGTAGGACATTGGCCACCATGTGCTCCCATTCTTTCAGTGGAAAGAGACATCAGCCTTCTCTGTTAAAGGGCCCTACTGATCCCTTTTCTCAGACACTGAGTCAGGTATTTCAGCACAGCCACAGTTACAACAGCAAAGTGAGTTGTCTGTGACTTCATAATTGTAATAAATCAACATTTTGAAATAATATAAACCAGAGTCTTGTAAAACAAAAACAAAAAATCCCTACCATAAAACTCAAAATTAGCCATGGGATTTTTAAAAAGAACAGACAGACAGACAGATGAACAGACAGACCATTTATCCAAAGACACAGCCTTTCAGTGAGGACATTTTCATCAATTAAAAATAAAAAATCACATTAAATGAGGTGATGAGCACGTACTCTAAAATAATCATTTATCTTAAAGAGAACTCTTTATATATACGCTCACTTACTATCTGTGAATTTAGTAATTTTATAAAATATTTTTATGTCTCATCAAAGTATGAAACATACTTATGAGCAAGATTATAATATAATGATGATTCTCATCAAGGCCCAAAGTCTAATGGCTTATTTTGAATTTGCAAATGACTATATTTTGCAATGGCTTAACAAATAATGATGCTAACGCTTTTTTTTTTAAAGTCCAATCTCATTGTACAAACTTTAGTTCAGGTCTGTGTTGGAGAAACCACAGAAAAATGAAGGACTGCCTTTAAGCTCCCCTGCGTTCCTTCCAAAGGAGCGGTATTTACAAACTCAGCTCTGAATTTCCCGGGTACTGCAATGTCTCTTCTATTCGAGTGGACTTGTAATATTACCTTTCAGTGAAGGGTCAAAGTCAATCCAGATTATTTGAGACTTTATAACTTTTCTCCTTTTTAACTGATACAAATTAGTGGAGACTGATACCTCATGAAGGCAGATACTGGATATGACTCAAAGTTCGCAAGATCCATTCAGCATCAAGGCAGTAAAAATAATCGGAAATGGCTTTTAGGGAGCAGGAGTTCTTAGACCCCAGGCACATTCTCAGACCTCCAAAAACAGTAATTTTGCCTTCCACTCATGTAATTTCACAAGGATAACATGATAGATAAAATAGCCTACCCACATTGTAAAAATTGAAATGACAGAATTTTTGCCCCAGCCAGAAACAGAAATAGTAAGGAAAATAAATAGGTGACTTCCTCTTGGTATGGGTATACAATCACTGGGAGTCCTGCTGTGGTGCTGTAGGACAAGCACTGGACTGCAAGGTCAGTTTGAACCACAAGGCTGGCAGTTCAAGTTCATCAGACGCTCCTCAGAAACCCTATACAGGGCTGCTGTAAGTTGGAACTGACTCAACGGCACTTAACAACAACAACAACAACAACATGCAATCACTGGTGCCAACCATCAATCTGCAGACTTTTAACATGAGATTATAGATAGAGGCCTCTCAATAGTCCTCTGTAAGTAGGACACAGAATTGTGTAGAGAGCAGAGTGTGAGTCACAGAGTAATGATACACATCAAGTCTGACACCTGAGATCACATGGTAAAGATCCACCTGTTGGAATCTCCACTGAGTAGTATCCAATCTGTCTGGGTGGGACTGATGAAAGGAGATGGGGATAGCACTCATGTGGCACAATAGTGAATAATTGCTATCAGGACTGACTGTGAGGGTTGGAAATGTAAAGGTAGACGTTTTGTAGCAAAAGGAGGGGAGTGGTTGACTTTGCAGGCCAGGAGCGGAGGTCCCTGGGACCATCAAGGGAGAAGAGCGTAGTATGGTACCCTATCCAGATAAATAGTGATGCCAGAGATGGAGGCAGAGACGATGACATGGAGAGATGAAGCGACTTGGAACTCTAGACACAGAGAGGGAGAGGGGCTGTGTGCTGACAACCAGGGGGCAGGCTTGTAGTGTATACCCTTTGTTTGGTTGATGATGCATGCAGGGAATTGTAACCATGGCAATGAAATGATATACGATAGGATGAATGTAAAGCTAATGTCCTCCCATGTAAACTATCACAAAATTCACAATAAAACATTAAAAAAAAAAGATCCACCTGGTAAGAACTCCTTCCTGTCAGTCATTAGCAGTGCTACACTTGAACAGTATTCTATAGGCGAGGATACATGGTTTCTATGAGCCAGAAATAACACTACATTTGATAACCGGTCTTCCCCACTGACATGAGCAAATCAGGTTAATAAAAGGAGAACTTTTGGGTATCATACGTAACAAAGCAGATGGATGTATAAATTAGATCAAAAGAATCTGTCATATCAGAATAAAGCACAGATTGAAAGAAAGCTGTTAGAAAGTTGAGAAAGAATACCTTCATTTACTAAGAAACAGGAATGTAAAGCAGCGGAAGCGGGGTCAGAGCCAGAGGGATCTGCGTCAGACCGAGCGGAAACGACAGGAGCAGCAACTTGCAGAGGAAAAGAGAAGAAATAAAGAGGAGAGAATTGAGGTACAGCAGTTTCTGAAAAAAAGCTCAGTATTAGTGAAGAATGAAAACCAAAACTGGCAAAAACTCAACAGGGAATGGAAAAATGATGTTTTTTTTTTTTTTTAAATCAGAAGGACATAACCATTATGGAATACAGCAGGGAAATGGTGTATTTTTTTGAATATCAATTAAGATAGTACTCAGATTTCTCTTACAGCCAAAATTTATTTAATATTATCACAATAATGTGGCAGCTGATGCAAAACATAACTCTAAGACAACTAAAGAGGTTCGAAAAAACATGAAGATAAACACATTAAGAATTAGCAAAAATGTAATTCAATTTAAAAGATGTATCACATAATGAAAAACGATGTTGGTCTTCACATGGCCATTGCTTCTACTTACTTACTTTCTAACATTATGTGTAAATTAATGTCAAATGTCTGCTGAGATGATTTCCATTTTCCACATTCACTTTACAAAAATTAAACTTAAAATATACTAATTCATAAAAGAAATATATAGTTTGCTTACTCTTATTAGAAATATCCTCACATAGCTTTAGTCTTTAGAATTAAAAAAAAAAAACAACTATGCTACAAATACTTTACACTCTAAAAATAATTATTGTGAATTTTATCACTCTTATAGTAAAAATGTACCAAGCCAAAAAAAAAAAAAGTTATGTTACCAAGAAAATGTTTCAGTTTAAATGATCATATGAAAAGGCAGAAGGACCGTATGGCACACACGTTCTACAACGGGAGGTCAATGTTAAGACTTAGAGGTCACCATTTGACACTTCCTTCCTATGGAGAAAGCACCATATGTCATGCACAGGCATCTCCAAATTAATCCCTCTCCTTTCTTCTGTCATTGAGCAGCAATAGGTTTGGGCTCCTGAACAGATTAAGCATTGTCTGTTGAGTGATTTCTTGGGTTTTCATGCAGTGAAGTGCTTTTGTAGCTCCAGGACAGCTGCATGAAAACAACTTTTTCATAATTTCCACACGAATGCATCATAATGTCAATCAGGCACGTGTGAGGCCAACAGTAGGACTGAGAGAAAATCCAGCTCCACCCACACTAAGAAGCACATCTTACAAACATGAAAGTTTCACTGGAGGAATTGTAACTTGTTTCATTACAAAGACTTGTTTTTGTTCTTTATAAAACCACAAGTGTTTCATAATGTTGTACTCACACATGGCATAGTTCATGGGTCAAGGAACCTAAAAACTCCATTGTAAAGTCACCTTGCGAAGAAATATCAAATATTCTTACATCCTATTAAAGAATAAAAGCGTGACTACTGCAGTGGTGCTGTACGATCAGCACTGGACTGCTAACCAAAAGGCCGGCAGTTCAAAATCACCAGCTGCTCCTTGAAATCCCTGTACAGGGTCGCTATGCCCTATGAGTCAGAATCCACTCGATGGCACTTAACAACAACAACAATTAAATAAGTTAATTTTAATTTGCTAACACATTGTGATGGAGGTAGTGTGCCATGGAGTTAGTTCCAACTCACAGCGACCCTGTACAGGGTTTCCAAGGCTGCAAATCTTTACGGGAGCAGAAAGCCTCTTCTTGCTCCCGTAGAGCAGCTGGTAGCTTTGAACTGCTGACCCTGAGGTTCGCAGCCCAACTAGTAACCACTACGCTACCAGAGCTCCTTACAGGTCTATAATATATGCGTATTCCCCTGCCCACACAAAAGTTGATAGGAATAAATTTTCACGTTTTAGTTTCTATGCAACCAAAAGTGTTGAGAAAGTACCTCTGCTGGTTTCCAACACTTGGGACTTCTCTACAATTTTACTTAAGAAAAAAGAGAGAAAGAGAAGTTACTTTATCCCTGGAAAGATCATGTTTATTGTATCTAATTTTATCTTTAATTCTTAAAGGGCACTAGAAAAAGAGGGTGAGGAAATTCACTATAAATGAAAAAAAAAAAATTTGAAATGGTAACCATCCTAGGTACCTTGCAGTGGGATTAAACCACAAACATTTTGCATATAGGTACCATCCTACAAGAAAACAGAATGGAGGCATAATAGAGCCTAACAGAATAATGTTGACCATAAAAAAACTCTATTTCTAAAGAGGAATTAAAAAAAAAAAAAAAACCTCACAGATAATGGGTATTACATTTTTCAAATCATGTTTACATGCTATTTCATTAGGAAAAAGCCATTTATACTTGTCCTTTAATAAATTTTGTGGGCACTAAAATATTACAGAAGAAATAAGATTTTACTATACTTTAAAACCTTTACATTACCATCAAAAATATTTCCTTCAGGTCACACAGTTCTAACTGCCAAAACAGGAAGTCCTTTCTAAATCGTTGAGAATATTGAAATCACCCTCTACTCTAGTTTTTATAATTGTCCAAAGATAAGAAAAATCAGCAACAGAAATTATAAAAGCTACAGCAAAGTATAATTCCAATTTTTTAGCTATTTTTTTCTAGCATTTACTACCATATTATTAAATAATACGCTACTATGATTAAGCAAATTTAGGCATTAGCTACTGACTTCTACCAATGTTGTAGACGATGAAGACTTAAGTTTAACCAACCACCATCTCCTAACCATTATCCTTTCCCTTCCCCCTAACTTTCTAAAACAGTGATACCATACTTTTTAATATCAATACTAAATGTTTACACTGTTGTTGTTAAGTGCTGTTGAGTCGATCCCGACCCATGGTGACCCTGTGTAGGCTTCCGAGGTGCAGCTGGTGAGCTTGAACCGCCAACCTTACAGTTCAAACAGCTTTGCAGTCTGGCGCATTAACCCACAGCGTCAAACCAGGACTCCATTATCTCTGTATAAATTCTAAATTCTGTCAGTGTTGATCCAAGCAGTCCACTAAGATCACTTGACCAACCTGATTTTTTTTTTTCTAAATTTAAAAATCATCTTTTTTTAAATGTGCAGTTTTCCATGTATGTAATTAGCTCTCTAGGGTAAGTATTGCTTTGCTAACCACAAATTTGGTGGTTCAAACCTACCAGCTGTTCCTTGGAAACCCTATATAGGGTTGCTATGTGTCAAAATCTACTCGAAAGCAGTTAACAACAACTCCTCCTAAGTCTCTCAGTGATTTTCCCATATGCCAATTTGCACTTTTCATTGTAACTGACGTACAATTCAATGGCGTTACTAACATTCATCAGGCTGTGCAACCATCATCAATCTGTGTTTCCAAATTCTTCATCACTTTTAGTAGAAACTTAGAACCTTTGGACAGTGCCTGTTTATCTAATTGATACCTTGCCTGAAGACCACTGCAATGGACAGATCACTTTCCCTCAGTGTTTTTAAGGAACAGCTTCAGTGTCAAGTTCAAGGTTACTAGTAAGAAATTCTATCGCAGTCTTATTTGTAAAGCATAGCTATCTATTAGGCATTGCTCCAAGCAACTTGTAATAAATCAGTAAACAAAACAGAAAAATACACCCACCCTCTGAGCTTCCAAAACTGATCCAAGTTATATGCAAACTTTAGAAAAAGAAAAAGGGGGCTACAGGTGGCACATATGTTCAAACAAAGCAAGTTTGAAGGGTTTCAAAGATATCAACAGACCTGACACTGGGACTCCAAGGACTCCAAGTTAAAATGTGTTTGTTGTTACAGATTTTAGAAAATAGCAGTGTGAAAACTCTCAGATAATTTTGTTAATATCTTGCTAGACAAATTAACAAAGACTGCCTTAAACTTCTGAGTTTAGATAACCAATATTGAACCCATATCAGAAAAGCAAAATTACAGTGTAATGTAACTCAAATCTTTAAATTGCTCAGATGTGACTATACACTCAACACTAAGATACAACTAAATAACCATTTTAAAAAGTGGTTACAATTAAGATAAGCACTAGAGACAAAGATCAAAGAATTGTGCCATGAAATGACTGAGCAAATCAAGAGAAATACAATATGTCAGAACATACAAAAGCCTAAAGCCGATTTGGTGGTGGTGGTTTTGTGTTGTAGAGTTGGTTCCGATTCATAGCAACCCTGTATAGGGTTTCCGAAGCTGTAACTCTTTACAGGAGCAGAATGTGTCTTCTCCAGTGGAGGAACTGGTAGACTGGAACAGCTAACCTTGCAGTAAGCAGCTCAGCTCGTAACTACGCTACCAGAGCTCCTAAAAGCAGATTTAGCCTATATTATCATGAACAAAAATTGGTCTGACATTTTTGATCCCTTTCTCAAGTGAAATGTTTCATAAACTGTAAAGCTGCATATCTAATAAGTAAACATCCATATCAAAAAAATTCATGGTTGTCAGTAAATGTTAACTACTGACAAATATTGAATTAATGAATTTACCATGAAATAAGATAAAGCTCTTAAGAGTGTAATTATTTTCCAATAAAATGCTCTGATATTGTTTATAGGAGATTACATAAGCTGAACATTCAAATGTCTAAAAGGGCCAATCTCCAGCTCAAGTCTTTGCTCCATATAGATTACTTTGCCGCTGAACAAGTATTCACCAACATACAAGTGACAGCTTATTGGAAAAGAGTGTATTCATGTTTGTGGTCTGACTTGAAGGCTGGACTGTAAGTCAGTTTGCGCTGCACTGGGAGTCAGAAGAGAACATAAGGAAAGAGAAAAGTTCTTAAAAGAAAACTATGTTAGGAAAGGAAAAGCAGTTAGACCACAAAGATGAATATACATAATGCTCAGGAAACTCCTGATGTTGCCACACTCACCTGCTAACCAAAAGCTCGGCGATTTGAACCCGCCCAGTGATTCCAAACACACCCTGAAGATTCATGGGAGAAAAGACCAGCCAATCTGCTCCCTGAAAGACTACAGCCTAGAAAACCAGATGGAGTGCAGCGGTGCTACTCTATCACACGGAGCTGCTATTCAGCTGAAATGGGCTCAACAGCACTTTACAAAAGTACTCATATAGCGCTCTAGCCGCTGAACACAGAGAAATCAGAACTCT